GTTGTACAGCAGCACTGGACTTTGAAGCAGAATGAACTTGCTGGCCAGAATTTGCTGGAAGCTGACATATCTAGACACACTTCTCCTTTGTATGGCATTTTTTTTTTTAAAGGAAGACTATTTAGGAAATTGTCTTTATTTAAGTGTAGTTTTAAAAAATTTTGAAAGACAATAAAGATAACTGTGAAGTATTTTTTCAAATACCAGCTTACATACTCTCCTTTCTGCTATTCTTGACCTGATCAGTGCTGCCTGGAGCTGCAGTATCAACTGCAAAAGTTGTATCTTGTAAATGAGATTTTTTTTTTTAACTGTTTCTGAATTAAGAAAACTCTGTGTGTGTAGTTTGAGCCTGGAGTTACATGGTCATTTGGCTGTCTTCAGTTAGTGCAAGACAGAAATCAGCAGAACACTTTTACACCACTTCCTATAAATTGTAGCACTCTGTGCTGCTTCTAAGCTAAAGTAACTTTTTAGTCTAGTGTCTATCCCACAGTAAGCATGATCTTGGTTTTGCCATAACCTTATACATGCAGGCTCTAGCCACTGTTTTCCTTTTATGCAAGCGTTGATTGTAATGCTTTGTAAAACTAGCACCAAAAAAGCTGGATTTTTAACTTTTATTTTTCACTTTGTCTAGTTTTAACTGTAAGAAGACTTATGAGACAAGGTTGCCTGTATTACATGACCCTGATTGCTCCTGTTTCCAGGAGCTGTTAGCTCTTTCACTGCAGTACCTTGATCATCCAGCCCTGAAGAAAAACAACTGCATGACGAGAATTGTCAGGCTGATGCTTCATTTTTCATAGCAGCTTTGTATTTTCCCCTCATCTCTTTAGGCAGTGGCACAAGAGCAGGGCAGGGAACTTGGCCTTCGATTTCACACATGCATTCTCGCAGATGATACTTCTTGGGCCCAAAAGTGGCTGGGTGCGATAGTTTTTGCCTTTCTCTTTCCTCTTTTTCAAGTGTTTCTCTAGAAAAGAGATGTTTGTTACTAGCAGAAGCTTGAATGGCAACATTTCCTCTCCCTTCCCTGGACCCAGTCCACCACAAAGATGGATTTACAGTTCCTAGTTGGTGGACTTCACCATGTCAGTTTTGTCTGGGAGAAGTGTCATTTCCTGCTGTATAGCTGACAAAAGTTTGCCGGGATCGCATGATGATGTATGCTGAAACCTGTACATTTGCTTATTAAGTGTTACTTACTTGCTTTTCCCCAAGATTTTTTTAATGTGCTCAGTTATCTCTTTGTTGGTTTTATCTTCCACATCAACCAAAACTTGTTCTCCATTGTCTGTCAAGAAAGATTTGCAATAGTATGTCAAAGG